TCTTCTCGTCTGGCCTGGGAGTTGCCATGGGAGTGAGCACAGTGGGTCTTGTGAAAAGATGGTTTCTATGGCTATCCAGAGTTTGTCTTTTGTCCCCAGGGTCCATTCGGCTATGCGTTGTAGATGAGTGGTCTGGTGGTACTTGATCAGGTCCGAGAGTCCCAGTCCGCCCTGCAGTTTGGCTTTTGTATGGATGTCGTACTTTATCCTGGCCGGTCGGTTCCGCCAGACATATTTCGTGAAGTCTTTGTGAGCCTGGACCAGGAAGAATTGCGGGATAAGGATCGGGAGCGTTTGGAGTACGTATAGGAAGCGTGGAAGGACGTTCATTTTAAGAACGTTTACTCTGCCGAACCAGGTGATGTGTGGTACATCCCATTCTGCTAGGTCTTTGAGTATGTGTTCCAGGAGGGGGGGGGGTAGTTTTGCCTGAACAGGTGGGAGGGGTCTGCAGTGAGCCATATGCCTAAATATTTGAGTTCGTCCTTGCGCCAATGGAGCTGGAATCGTGCTTTAAGGGTCGTGATCAGGGTGCGGTCGCATCCCAGGTGTAGGATCGCCGACTTGGAGTAATTAATGCAGAGGTTGGATAGTGAGCCGTACTTTTCGAATTCCTGCATGATAGCCGGGAGTGATGTTTGCGAGTCTCGGACCGTGAACAGCAGAACTTCGGCGTAGGCTGAGATTTTGCTTTCCCCCCATTTGCCTTTTATGCCCCCGATATCCGGTCTGGTGCGGATCGCGTTCAGGAAGGGTTCTAGGCTTAACACGAACAGAAGAGGCGAGAGGGGGCAGCCCTGCCAGGTGCCGTTGTGTATCTGAAATGGTGTAGATAATGTGCTGTTCACGTAGACTTGTGCGGACAGTGCATTGTATAGAGCTTCTATCCACCTCCTCGTGTTCGGTCCCAGTCCTAAGTGTTGTAGCGTTGCAAAGAGGAAGGTCCAATCTACCCTGTCAAACGCCTTCTCCGCATCCGTACAGAGAACAGGAGTGCGGGCGTCTGTTTGCTCTTGGCCGCCTGTATCAAGTTAATTACTTTGGTGGTATTGTCTCTAGCTTCTCTATTGCTGATGAACCCTACCTGGTCTGGATGGATCAATTGTGGCAGGGTTGGTTGGAGTCGGAGTGCCAGAACCTTTGCGAATAGTTTCAGGTCGGTGTTCAACAGGGAGATTGGCCTATAGCTCGGGCAAGTCTTGGGGTCTTTGCCTTCTTTGGGTAGCACCACTATGTATGCTCTCAGGGTGTTGTGGTCGAGGGTCCCCCTTTTCTGAGTGCGTTAAGCATGTTCAATAGGTGCGGGATGATTCGCGGTATGTAGTATTTGATTGTGAAGCTGTCCGGGCCTGGACTTTTCCCATTTTTGGCCATTTTCAGGGTCTGTGATATTTCTTCCGTTGTGATTGGCTCCTCCATGGCATCGGCCGTGTCTGTGTCCATCGTGTTGTGGGTAGTGTTTCTTTGGTGAGGTACTCTTTTCCTTTTTGGGTCTTGGTGGTGTCCGACCCCTCCCTGGCATTGTCTTGGCTGTGGAGGTTGTATAGTGCTTCGTAGTAAGTGCGGAATCCTTCCGCTATTGATTTCGGTGTGTTGTGGGTGGTACCATTATGTTTGATCTCAGATATGAAGCTTTTTTGTCTGATTTTCCTCAGGGCTCTCGCTAGTAATTTCCCACTTTTGTTACCGTATTCGTAGAAAGTCTTCTGCGTTTGCCTGAATTGAAATGCGATCTTCTGAGATAGGTGTGAGTTGAGTTTTGCCCTGGCGATGACTAGTTGTGAGTATGTATCATCGTCCATGGTGGACTTATGTTGCTTCTCCAGGTCTGCCACCTTTCGTGCCAGTTCAGCGGTTTCTTGGGTGCGTTGTCGCTTGCGCTGCACGCCATGTCTGATCAGGATGCCCCTGATCATACATTTGTGTGCTTCCCAGATCTTATCCGGGGAGGAGTCCGGCGTGCTGTTTGTTTGGAAGAATTGGTCTATGTGTGTTTTCACCTCTTGTTGAATTAGGGGGTCTTCTAATAGCGATTCGTTCAGTCTCCAATTCCAGTGTTTCTGGAATGGAATTGGTGAGGTGAGTGTGATGATGACCGGGGCATCGTCCGACCAGGTCATGGGGGTTATCGTTGCTGTAAGGAGGTCGTCCAGGTGGCGGTGCTGGAGGAACAGATAGTCAATTCGAGCATATGAGTTGTGGGGGGGGGGAGAAGAAGGTGTAATCTTTCTCTTGGTGGTGTAGGGCACTCCAGCAATCTGACAGCTGGAGTTCGTGTAGGGTGGCTTTCATGCCCCTGAGGACATGGCTCGGGAGGGTCGAGTGGCCTGTTGAGGTGTCCAGTTTAGGTTCTAGCGGTGCATTGAAGTCTCCTCCGAGGATTAGTTTGCCATCACTGAAGGAGTCTAGCAATGCGAGGGTTTTCCCTAGGAAAGATTTTTGTCCCTTGTTCGGGAGGTATAAGTTGGCGAACGTGAATCGCGTGTTGTGTATAATACCTTTCAGGAAGAGAAATCTGCCTCCTGGATCCGCGAGCTCCTCTCCTTTGCGGAACGGTATGTCCGCCGCGAAGAGTATTGTTACGCCTTTGGTCTTGGAGTCTGGATTGGTGGCATGGAAGCTCAGTGGGTAGTGTTTATTTGAGAATCTGGGGTGTTTGGCTGTTTGAAAGTGCTTTTTTCGAAGAATGCAGTGGAAATGTGCAGGGATTTCAGTTCTCTCAGTGCCTTTGCTCGTTTCTGTGGGGAGTTGAGTCCTTTGGCGTTGATCGTGTAGATTCTGAGGTCCGATTGGGGTGTCTTCTTGTGTCTGCAGGGGGGTTGTAGCCAGGGAGAAGCCATGTTTGCGCCAGCGGGCGCGTGGGCCAGCCCTGATGCCCTGTGTTCAGGGGGGGTGGGGGCATGTGGTCTGGGTGGTCTCCTACGTGCGTCCGGCGGGCCCCCTCGGGTGGTCTCCGCCAGGGGCACGCAGGGAAGCGTTGTGTGTTGGTGCAGGAGTGTGGCATGTGTTAAGTGTGTGTGATGAGTGTTATGAGGGCTTGATTGCTGATTGTCTGGTGTGGAATGTTTCTCCCTGGTTGTTTTTCCTTACTGTGTTCGGGAGAGGGGTTAGGGGGGGTGGTTGGGGTGTCGGGTAGTCGTGGGATGGTCGGAGTTCTGAGAAGCTTTTGCTAGGTATTTCTCTTTGTCTGTTTCTCCCTGTGGCTGCGGAATCTGCAGTTGTGTTGATTGTGTGCGTGGGAGATTTAGAGTGAGTTTGGGGTGGTCTGGATCTTGGTCGTCCAATGTGTAATGTCTCCCTTTGTCTGTGTCTCTCTTCTGCGTCGAGAGTGGGGACAGTAGAGATGGTAAAAAGGGGTGGTCTGCCTCTAGGGTGGGGGCTCACGTGGGGGTTGCGGGTCCAGTGAGCTCGCCCTGTGGGAGGGCAGTAAACCGTGGGGGCGTGTGTGGCGAGTCTCTGCACTCTGGCAAAGTCAGTGGGTTGTCGGTTCGAACAAGTGTTGGAAGTGTCTGAGCCCTGCCATCAGGGCGCGTACAGTTAGTATAGAGACCTTAAGCAGCCAGTAGTAACGCAATTTGTGCAACAACGGTTGCATTTAACCTTAACATTGAGCAATTAGTAACCCTTTATCTAGGCAGTGTCGGTATAAACATTTAGCGATAAAGATCCATGTTAACCTTAACATTTAGCACTTAGTAACCATTTATCTAGGCTTAGTTAGTTTAAACATTTAGTTGTGCAGACCCGTTTCAGCCTTAACATGTAGTAGTCAGTTACCATGTATCTAGGCTTTGTCAGTATAAACATTGAACGATATAAATCCGTGGTAACCTTAACATTTAGCAATTAGTAACCATTTATCTAGGAATTGTCAGTTTAAACACTTGGTTATGCCGACCCGTGTGAGCTTTAACATTTAGCAATCAGTTACCATTTATCTAGGCATTGTCAGTATAAACATTTGGTGATAAAGATCCGTGTTAACCTTAACATTTAGCAAGCAGTAACCTTTTATCTGGACTTTGACCTTTCAAGCCTTTAGTGACAAAGACCCATGGCGGAAGTCACCAGTCATGGCACCATTTTCGTGTGTCCCCTTCCTGTAATGAGGTCCCATAGGGTCATCAGTGTGTGCTAGGGTGTGGGCACATTGGGTCGGTAGTGGGTCGGGGTCTCAGGATTTGGTCGGGGGAGGGGTTATGGTGGGTGAGTGGGTTCGGGCTCCTGGCGTCCTACTGTGGGGACTGGTGGCGACTCAGGGGGGTGTGCCCAAGTGTACGGGGCCAGGGTTAAGTCAGGGTGGTCCGTCCATTGTTTGTGAGCGGTGGTTTGCCCAGTTTGTTGAGTGCCGTGGGAGTCACCTGCGGGGGGTGCACATTTGTCGACAATCTAAGTCTCAGTGGGCAGATATCATCAGACAGTCGTGGAGTTGCTGTCATGGTCTCTGTTAGCCCTGTCAAGCGGTGTGGTGTGGGTGTCAGTCAATAGTCTCAGAGGGTAGGGGACTTTCTCCCCCATCCGCTGATGCCCTCCCCCTCAAGTGGTCCAATGTAGAGAGGGTAAGCTACAGAGCATTGCAGTTATACGATACCACGTCCGTGTGGGGGGGAGCTCCCAGGGTCTGCGTTGGTGCGTGGCGGCTCCATCAGTTCTGGAAAAGACCCTTTCAGATCTGGCATTTCTAAGCTTTGGTAGATAGGGGGAAAGTTGGAGGAGGTGGGGGTAAGGAAGAAAAAACAATCCCCCCCTCTGTGGTATGCTCCGCGTAGTCCCATTTGTTAGACTGTCGAAGTCTCTGCATAGTTTCTGGGAGCCATATAGGCACAGGTGGCCTTCTTGCTGTTGGAGGTGCCATGTGGGAGGGAGAAGGAGAAGAATAAAGAGATGATCTGTGGTAGGGTCATTGCAGGTCCATTTCCAAGGGGTAAGGTGCGCTGGGTGGTTCGTGGGGCATCTCTTGTGCTGCTCATCTGGTGCGCCCATAACGGGGGCTCTGTGTATTACTCTTCATGGGAGCCCTGGTGGGGTGGTACTGTATCCCCGACCAGCCCGTCCGCTCCCAACACAAGGGCCACCGGTCTGCCCAGATATCTTTCATTGAGGGTGCAATCAGTCCAGTCCATTACCGGGGTGGCCGGCAGTCTCAAGGTGTTTAGTAAGATGGGAACGTCCGCTGGAAGCCGGATTGAGGCTTCTATGTTGTCATTGCGTGCCGTGAGCGTGAACAGGAAGTGCCACCGGTACCTTATCTGGTCGCCCTGGAGTAGTGTGGTGATAGGGCGGAGGGCCCTGCGAGTTTGTAGGGTGAGATGGGAGAGGTCGTTGTACAACTCCACAGTTTGGCCCTTGTACCGCCAGGATCTTTCCCTCCTTGCTTCTTTCATGATATCTTCCTTTAGCTGAGTGTCTTGAATGTAGCAGATGACATCTTGCGATGGGGCTAATGGTGGTGGCTTTGGGCGGAGGGCACGGTGTACCCTATCTATATACAGACGAGCTTCTGGGGGTCTGTGCAGTGTCAGATTAAACAGTGGGATCAGTATCTCCCTTAGGTTTTCTGGGCCTATGGGTTCTCGGAGTCCTCGTATTCTAATATTGTTCTTGCGGCTCCTGTTGTATAGATCTTCTACATGGGCTACAGGTCAGTGAGTTGCCTGTCATAGGAGTGATTGGGGTGATGTACCTGCATTGTGGGGCCTGCATTTTCCAGCGCTGTCACTCTTCCCTCCAAATCCTGCAAGGAAGTGCTCAAGGAGGCGATCTCTGTTCTGAGGGTTGTTTTAACCTCCTGCACTATTGATTGGAGGTCTTCTTTTTTTGGCAGGGAGGTGAACAGTGCATACCAATCCGGTGTGGGATTCCCCTGATCTCGGGGACCGGCGGCAGTGAGCAGGCTGTCCTCGGAGACAGTTGATCCTGGTGAGGAGGGCGCCATGTTGGATGCCTCGTGGTGTGAGGCGAGGAGCCCCGGCGTGTGCAGGTAGCTGTGGATGGAGGCAGACGGACCCTCACCTTGCATCCTCGGTGTGGTAGGGGTCATTGTTGATCGCTTTGTGCGGCCCATTAGGTCTCTGGGTGTGCTGGTGTATGCGGATTTTGTCGGCAGGGCTCGGAGCGCGGGGATTACGCCACCATTGTCGTTCGGCGCCAAGCCATGCCCCCCTGATTTCACATTCTGACTCATTTTATCAGTTTTTTTAAATTTTAAAATAAATAAATAAAGGTTTGCTATATGCAAAGTCACACTCGTTGGTGTAGTCACTAAAATGGCAATTGTAAAGAACACCTTAGAAAATTGCAAATTATTGAGAAAAACTGCCAAATTTAATAAATATCTGATTGGTAGAAATGTTCCAATGTGACTATTTTTACCTAAGTTGTTTTATTCCTCTGTTAGTTTTCCTTCATTTTTGATTAAGTAAAAGAAAAAAAAACACTAAACTTGTTAACCAATCATTTATTCGGAACCTCAGAGGAGTAAATATGAAATTTTCTTGAAATATAGCAAGTATAAATATATGAAATTTGCAGGTGTTCTAAGACAGGGGGCTAGATATCAATTAGCCCAAGTGACCTTGTAGTGAAATTCGTGCCTCTTGGGCATGACGTCTCGTTAGATAAAAACTTAAAGGAATAGCTGGAATTGGAAGGAGTCGAGATATGCATCAGAGTTTGAAGATATACGTGTCATAGATGGGAACAAGTTGGGAACATTAAAAAGGTGAGCATTGTAACTGTCCCAGAGATGGAAGAGATCTGATAATGTATGCCCAGTAGCTAGACTACAAAGGAATAAATGCTTTTGATGGCTGGAGAAAACCAATCAGTAGAACAGGACGGTGAAGACCTTTCCAAAATACCGACTTTGTGACAGATCTCTTTGTTAAGCTGAATGACAAATTGACTGATGTGCAGCCATCCACAGGCTGTGAAATGCACTAACTGTCATTGCCCCAAAGCACCAAGCTATTTCTGTTCTGCTATTTTTTTGGGTGCTCAATAAAATATAGGGTGGGCCAAAACTCAGAGTAGGATTTGACAGGTAAATAACTTATTTGTTAGTAGTTCAATTCTTTTGTTGCAGGTACATATTATTACTGAGACTTGGGAGATTCATCCTGGATAATTTAAAAATAGTGGTCGTCAGCGAGAGAATAATGTCAAGAAATTCCCTGATTATTCGGCTGCCATGTTAGCTCCCGATTGCTTTCTGTGGGGATATCTGAATGAGCGTGTTTATGGGAACAAACCGAGTACACTTGAGTAGCTCTTCACCTACTGTTCCCATGTGTGATACGTTATGTTAGAATGAAATGTTTGTCTTGATTACCTATTGTATAGCTGTTAGCGCTGAGGAATATAGGAAATTGTGATTGTGATTATTTAGGGATGTGTTGATGATCTATGGAAGGGCTGAGAATGATTTAGCTTTGTGTTAGAAGTTAGAACACATTATTACCGTGGATTTTAATGTGAGATTAGCTAACTTTAAACAGTAGTGATATTTTGGGAAGACAATTGTGCAGTAATGACAGTTACCAGTAAACCAATAAGAGTCAACTAAAAAAAATACAGTAATGTTAACAAAGATATTATAACATGGAAAGTGTTTGTGACGGATTTTCGATTCTGACAATATGTTTTTGAAGATAGAACATTTTTGGGATACCCAAAAATGACGGTTCGGTTCGGACAAATGCCGATTCAGGAACTGAATCTATATTTCTATTTTAATATATTATGTATTTATTTAATATATAACATATAAATATAAAATATATAAAGGTATATATATATTTTGTTTCTACTTCTCCTGTTTTTTCCTCTATAGCTTATCACTTGATCTATAAATAAAATCAATATTTAGTGACTGTCCCCAGCCGTTCGTCTCCTTTTTCCCCATCAATATAAGCACAGTTAAAATTGAATCTCCAAGACTTGTCCATGATTCATTTTATAGCAATTATTTATTGAAATATATGCGGTAGATAAAAAAATGCAACATAGAAAATTAGAAAACACGCTTAAGACCCCACATAGACCAATTAGGAAACACTTATAGAGTCGCCTATGAATGGAAAAAGAAAGGAAAGCATTGTTCACCTCAGCTCAGAACTAAAATATCATATCAATAGATGGTAGGGAAGCAGCAACATACAAATTAGATATAGCAATTAGATGGTACGCTAGAGGGTAAGGCACACTACTAACATGTTGAGAAAAGGGTTATCCGTAGTGATTTCCCGAACGGTTCGCCGAACGGTTCACCGTGGACGGCGAACATATGCGCTGTTCGGTCCGCCCCCTATTCGTCATCATTGAGTAAACTTTGACCCTGTACCTCACAGTCAACAGACACATAGAAACATAGAAACATAGAATGTGACGGCAGATAAGAACCATTCGGCCCATCTAGTCTGCCCAATTTTCTAAATACTTTCATTAGTCCCTAGTCTTATTTTATAGTTAGGATAGCCTTATGCCTATCCCACGCATGCTTAAACTCCTTTACTGTGTTAACCTCTACCACTTCAGCTGGAAGGCTATTCCATGCATCCACTACCCTCTCAGTAAAGTAATACTTCCTGATATTATTTTTAAACCTTTGTCCCTCTAATTTAAGACTATGTCCTCTTGTTGTGGTAGTTTTTCTTCTTTTAAATATAGTCTCCTCCTTTACTGTGTTGATTCCCTTTATATATTTAAATGTTTCTATCATATCCCCCTGTCTCGTCTTTCCTCCAAGCTATACATGTTAAGATCCTTTAACCTTTCCTGGTAAGTTTTATCCATTCCATGAACATTCCAGCCAATCAGTAGCAGACTTCCTCCAGACCTCCCACCTCCTGGACAGCTCACTAAGAATGCAGCTTCACAATGAATGTAAAATGGATGCTGTCCAGGAGGTGGGAGGGTCTGGGAGGGAGGGTCTGCTGCTGATTGGCTGGAATGTGTCTGCTGACTGTGAGGTACAGGGTCAAAGTTTACTCAATGATGACATAGGGGGCGGACCGAACAGCGCATATGTTCGCCGTCCACGGCGAACCGTTCGGCGAACCGTTCGGGACATCACTAGTTATCAGCAGCACTGGAACAATATAAAATATGAAACAGGTTAATATACTAACAATATATAACACATTGTATCCCCATATTCCTCAGACAAACTCACTCATCAAAGTCCAAAGAGGACCATTTTACTAACATCCCAGTGATGTTGGGTTTGTTGCTGCCCTGTCCTAGGGTCAGTGAGAAGTAGGCCTATGGCAGCTTCAAACCTCTGTGGAAGTCCACCCTTTTCCACCAAAAGACAGTGGATGAGCACCATCTGTTGGGAATATTCAACTTCTGAAGGAGGCGAGTGATATGGCAAGAGGACTGCCTCCAGAGGGCCATATTATGGCAAATTCCTGAAGAAACGCTAACAGAAAAGTCTTTAAGAAGTAAGGTTGCTATTCACATACAGAGCCCTTCAGCACTTTCCAGTCAGTTAAATGTTTAAATACAACAATAACGTCTATCAATGTTGATTCTGGAGTCTTTCTTTAATTCTCATCAGAGATTTTGCCTGTTTGTGGGTAATGAGGCACCTTAGAAGTTTGGACATTTAGTGGGATTTATTGTATCCACAATGCCCAGCCTCGGATTTGAATTTTTTATTCTGATGGTGAACATGCCCTCTTTACCAGCTCACCTATGACCATAAAAAAATGCAAAAGTTCCATTTACACAAGTATACTGTTTTTTTTGTCATTTGTTTACCCTGTATATCACCAATTAATACTAACACCTCGTATCGGCCTGTGCACACATTTAGCAGTGATGCCAACAGCCGTAAGCCAGGAAAGTTACCACTTATCTCAGGTTACGTTATCAGCAAGAAGTGCTTTTCTTCTGATTTGGCAGTGTGGGCAATGCGTGACTCTGACAAATCGACCGAGCGCTATGGTACTGGTATGAATCACTCCAGCTTGGCACAGAGCTACGGATCATTTGTGATAACGGAGTGATATCATATCGAGTGGGCCCCTAAACTGATTACTAATACACCTGTACGTGAGGAGAATTACAAAATACAGTGTGTATTCTTAGTCAGAATAGCGAGGACAAACAGATCCAGAAAAACACCATTGTTTTTTTTTTTTAAATCTCTTTAAATGACTGATCCATTAATGACTTAGCATTTGCTTAAGTAAACATCGTGGATGATAGGAATTGTACTCAAATAACATTTGAATCAAAGTAGGTTGTCTGCGGCTGTGATTGTACCAAATATGACTAACACCTACAACGTCTAACAGGGATACTCACAAAATTATAAATTATCAGAAATTCGTAGTGAAACTAAAATTCTAGACAGTTTGGACAACCAACTCAGCTATTATGAACAACATTTAGAAATTCAGTTTCTACAGTCTCATTGTTTACTTATGCTCTATGTATTAACAGTGCAGGTTTAAAATAAGCCACTAAATGTACTGGACTGATATGCCATCTCTCATGTAAAATACTACTGAGAGTTTTTACGAAATCTCTATCATTACAACAACGACAGGTATTTTAAAAAACTATCTCCAACAGGCAGAACAAAGTAAGGAAAGATAGAGATCTTTGCCATCGCAGATAATCAGCCTGTAAAACAAAGCTTATGCTGTAATGGAATAGCAAAGAAAATTGTGATTTTCTCCAAAACAGGAAGCTATTTTCTGATTACACAGTTTAGTCCTTATATTATTTTTAGTGACTAAAAGTGCTTATTAAAAAATGCAAACCTGTAACCTTATCACGGCTTATCTAAATTATCCCTGGATTAGAGGGTTTATGCATAATTAGTAAACAGATCCCAGGACTCATTCAGACAGAACTGTAAACATTCACTCTTCATATTGGGAAAACGCGAAGATTGGGAATGATTTACAGGAAAGCTGGCTGATAAAATTAAATAATGTTTGATTTAATCTGGGGGCTCTATGCCATACAAAAGCTTACGGGACGGAGAAATAAACAAATCGCAACAAAAATACAGATATAAACAAATTTGAAACGTTCTGTGTTTAGCCGTAGGGATTTATTAATCAAAAAGGGGGTTGCAAACATAATATGAAAATAAATCAATTTTAATACATTGGCGGATCTCACTTTAAATAGGTATCTTAAGATATTCTTTAATTTGACACTCTAGAC